TCAGGGCTGAGGGAGGGACAAGGGCATCCTCTGCACCCGACAAGGCAGGTGGGAGTGCAGTCTGGGGAGAGGCCACTGAGAAGTTCTGGACACTGAGCCGCAGTGGACATGTCTATCTACTTTCAGATAGGTAACTAGGGCTCAGCGGCAAGCTTTGGGCTTTTTGAAGGTGAGACACACTGCTCAGGTCAGGTGCAGCAGCCTAAGCCTGGAATCAAGCCACTAAGGAGGACTCAGTCACTTGAGCCCAAGAGTTCAAATCAGTGTGGGTAACTTTTAAAAAAGATACAATGTTGATATTAAACTATAATGGTTTAAGTACTCCAGGCATGCTATTTCAAATCTGTACTGGTCTATATATGTGTGATGCTCCATATGAAAAACAAAGCCATCTTCCATCTCACTATAAGGTCAGTGCCCTGAACATCAAAATTTGACAAACCTGATGGTACACATAAGAAACATGAAATATAATGTTAGGGAATTAACCTAACTATGATGCATAATGCTATAATTATTTCTATAGTAATGCTTCTTACAGGGTGGGGGGATGAGTCCAGACAGCATGATTATCACAATCTGCAAATGACAGAAAAAAGCAAACTCCCATAAAACCCTGCCATGGTAATGGAGTACACTGAACATATTTACCTTCCAGCTCCACCTTGCTTTATTTACCATTAACTTTTCTCAGTGAGACAGAGCAGAAGCAAAAAAAACAAAAACAAAACAAAAACAAAAACCGCCGCAGACGTCTTGGTCATTTAAAAAATACCCTGACAGGCTCACTGTTCCAGTTCTCCCTCATCTCTGGGTGTCTGTGCTTTCAGGAGCACTCCACATTTCTGTGCCCACCTGGCTGCTCCAACTCCAGATGCCTCAGAGAAATGGCGCCTCCTGCAGAAGTGCTGCCAGAGTGGAGCCCGGGCCCCAGGTAACCCACCTTCGAGGCGCCTGATGCCCCGCCAGGCCTCTTCTGGCAGACTGTGAACTCCATCAGGACAGTGACCCTGCACACCCCACACACAGGATGCGTCGTGTCCGTGATGAGCAAATGTGTGAAGCGGAGAGTAAAAACTTCTCTCTTTTCTGTAAGAATTACTGAGGAGCTGAGCATCTCTTATTGATTATAGTGCACCCAAACTAGGACTATGCCCCTCCCTAGTCACAACCCGACTACCCACTTGAGGTTACCTGACAAATGTTACACTTCACACCCCCTTCTAATCAGTGACACACTACTGCAAGAGAGGAACACAGTGTTTTACTATTAAGAGCAAACTATTCCTATGAAGTGTATCTAATTCAACCCCTGCCCACACTACATCTATAAGAAATTTCAAAGATTTTGATATTGTGCTTGCAGAAAGAATGGTTACCAGTTAAAGCACTGTCAAGACTTTTAAGTAAAAAAGAGTTCAAAGAGTTTCTAAAACTCTGGTGAAATTTCTTCAGTGCAAAGTACTGGCATATACACAGAATCTTTTTATAAGTCTAAGTAAAAAACTGAAAACAAAAATGCTTTGTGCTAATTTTTCAGAATCTATTCTAAATTTTTCTACTATCTACTTCACTTTTTAAAAAGACAACTAAAAAACTGTTAACAGCTAAGCAGCAGAATAATTCCCCAATGAGTCCTTCACTAGAGGCAAATTTAACAACACTAAAGGTGAAAGATACACTTAAAGAACTAGAGCATTCAGGAGATTTAACTCTCAACCAAAACAAACAAACAAAAAAAAACCCAGAATTTTTGCTTTAGGAATGTTTATGCTAAACTTCTCATGCTGGTCCAAACACCACTGCAAAATAAATACAACAGTAGGCACATAATAAACATAGAATACATATCTAACGAAGGGCTAAAATTTCATTTCCTGAAAATATCAAGTGTTACAATATCAAAGTTACAGGGCAACTGGGACTCTCACACACTGTAGGTAAGAAACAGAGTAGAACAGCTAGTGTGGAAAACAGCTTTTTGGTTCCAGAAAATTACCCACAATGATAATTATCACAGGACCAAATAATCTCACTCCTAGGTATTAACTAAGAAAACTGAAAACTTTTCTCTCTCCCACAGACTTTGATACCAAAGTTTATAATATCTTTAATATAATAACTGGCTGAAACGAAGAGCAACTCAAATGTCCACCAGCTGGTCAGTGGATGTGCTGTGGTACCTGCACACCAAGGGCTGCTGCTCAGCAACAACAAAAGCAAAGACTCAGTGGTATGCAAGGACAGGCCGGCACCAGTCCATCGCTAAGTTTCAGGGATTCTTTGCAAACATGGGCTGGGTGACAGTGCTCAGGCCACAGTAAATGGCAAATGGACGGATCCAGGACGACGAGGGGACAGACAGGCTGTGAAACACTCACCAGCCCACCACTGAATACGCAGTTACATCCAACAGCTGAACGAGTACCACAAGCACACTGCTGAGTGAAAGAAGATAAGAAACATAACACACATCACCAAGGACCTTAACGGTTCATGTTAGGAAGAAGACGGGCCACAAGGGGCAGGAGAGGACTTTTCGGAATGAGGGAAACATGGCGGTGAAGGTGAGCCCACTGCATACAGATGCAGAACTTTTACTGCATGTAAATTATACCTTCATAAACCTGACTTCAAAAACGTAAGGAAAGTCATGGATTTCCTCATTATTTTACAGATGCTAAATGTATCAAATATACAAAGGGGAAACTGAAACTTAGTGGAAACACCGGGCAAGCACATGTTGATACCACAAACAGAAATGTTTAACATGTCAAAAAACGAATCTGGAATCACAGGAAACACCAAAATCCTGTGAAGGATTCCGCCAAAGACACTGTAGGATGGCTCCACTTGAGTGTGACTTCAGACTAGTTTTAACAAAAGTTAGTGTCACTAAGGGAGGGATCTTTCTACTGGGCATGCATGGCTCTCAAACCCCAAGGTACGGATGTGTCTATAATCTCAAATACATTTTCATTTCTATCTAAAACATCACTTAATCATTTTAACATCAATTAAGTGTTGTCACTGATTCAAAATCCAGCACAGCCTAGTTATTAGCAATGCTGGCTCTAGGTTTATTACAATCAGGCTCAAATGTTGGCCCACTGATATATAAGTGTCTATTTCTCCATCTGTAAAATGGGATTAACATTCTCCTGGGGTTTTAGTAAGAAGGCATAAAAAACTATTTCTGTGTGTTCTCAATCATCAATATTGCTCAGACATAATTACAAGCAAAGCACATATAAATTATCTAATCCATTCCTAAGAATTTTAATGTTCCTCAAATATTGTACTAGCAATTTAATCCTTACTTTTCTTGGAGAGGGGAACTCACTGTGATACTCAGGCCAGTCTCTAGTACCGGGGCTCAAGCCATCCACCCTCTTCAGCCTTGCAGGTGCTGGGACTACAAGATCCTGCCAGGAAATTTATTTGGCCAGTGGTTCATCTTTTGTGGACTCAGGTCCTTTTAAGAATATGATGACTACATGGCCTCTTTACCCAGAAAAAAATGCAAATCGATGCTATGTTTTACATATGATTTCTGGAGACCAAGGACCTCATGAAACACATGCATAAAATTAAGAATGCCTGGTGAAAACTCTTAAAAGCTGCAAAGCTGAACAGCGGAATTTAAAGAATCTTCCAAGTAGGGAATCCAACTGGTACTGAAATATTACATTCATTTAATTTTTTGCTCAGATTTTGCCAGTATCAAGATCAGAGCATCATGTTTTCTAATTCATACTTTTTTTTGCAGAAATTTTAATTTAAAAGGATATTTTAAATGAATTCATTTCACCTCCAGCACAGAAACCTGCAATAAAAAGCTCTCTAGTAGCTTGAGACAGAATGGTTTAAAGTGTAACACACACTATGTGCTCAAGTAACTTAGGTAGTCTCCTCAAGCCTAATGCAATACACGTTTTTAAATACTGTATAAAAGCACACAGAGATAATTCCTATACTTAAAGAGTCCTATGGTAAGTTTTTTCTTTTTGAAGTGGGATGTTTTGCTTACTAGACCTATGCACAAAGACCACGTCTAGTTTCTGTAAATCAGTACATTCCTTATAATATTTTGTTAGGTTTATTTGTTGCATGCCATTATGGTGGAAATTAATTGTTCTAACTCCACTACCAAACAAACACTAACCTGGAAACACGCTATCTCAACGCAAAAGATTGTTTTCCTTTTTGAATTGTTTGGCTTTCAGATGACACAATAACCAGTTGGCACTAACCAATGCCTGCCCATTACTGAACAAAAATAGTTTTCCACATGCATAAGCACCATTTTTCCCCTCAAAGCGCCTAACTATTTCCAATGGACTGAATGTCCCAGCCAGAGTCGACATACACAGTAAACATCCGCTGGCTCTGGGGTGCCACACCATGTCAGTGTAGGAAGAACCGAAAAGGCACACCATTGAATCCAAGGAGATAAGACGCAGCACCTCACGCTCCAACACTGGCCAGATGGCTTTGGTCACAAAGGTCACGGGTGTTTTTAAGCCACGGAGTGCGCGTGAATGTTTGGGATGCCACCGCATCCCCAGAGCACAGGGGGACAGGAGCACCTGCGGGCCCTCCCTACCAAGAGGTGGCAGGAGCATCTCTGGTTCCTCCCCCAGGGAAGGGTTCCGGGCCCCGGGTGCGTGGATCAATGAGCCCGAGGCCCGCAGCCCACAGCAGGCGCGGGATGAGGCCTGGCTCAGGGCGCGCGGGCGAGGGGACCTCGGGGACCGTGGATGGGGGGTGCGGACCGCGCCCACCCGGGTGCGCAGGTCTCCCTCAGCCCCGATGCTCCCGAGGCCGCCCCTCGCCCCTCTCCGCACCAAGACCCCTGCCCAGCTCGATGCCAGCCCCGCGCCAGCGCCCTCTCCGGGCCTCGAGGACGCGGGCCAGGCCGGCGCCGGTGGCCGCGGCCTGCGCCCAGGGCCGGGCGGGCGTCCTCACCACGCGCGCACAAAGCGGCGCCGCGGACTCACCAAAGGGGACGAGGACGCTTCCAGCGACCGTGGTGACACCGCCGGGAACCACGCCCGGCCCAGGATCCCGTCCGCGGACGGCGGCCGAGGCGACCGACCGCGCAGCCGCCTACCCAGCTCCGGCCCTGGACCCTGCGCCGCCGCGCCCCGCCGCGCGCCTGGCGCCCGCCGCCTCGGCCTGGGCGCCGCCCGGGGCTCCGCTCCCCATCAAGGCCGGGCCGCGCCGCGGCGCCCGAGCAGCGCTGTGGGGGCCGGGCCCGCGCGGCCGCCGGTGGCCATCTTGGTCCTCGCTCGCGTTCGGCGTCCCCGCTCCCGCGGCCGCGATCCTCCCCGCCCTCCGCCGCCCGCCGGCCGCTCCTCCTCCTCCCGCCGCCCCGCCCGCCCGCCCGCCCGCTCCTCCTCTCGGCCGCCGCCGCCGCCGCCCGCGCCGCGCTCACCTCCCTCCGCTCCCGCGGCCGGACTCCGCACCCACGCCCGCGCTCGCTGCTGCCCGCCCGTCACGCGCGACGGGAAGCGCGAGGCTACGCCCGGGCCGCGCCGGCCCTCGCCGCGCCGCGCCCAGCCCAGCCGGTGCGGAGGGCGCCGTCCTCGGGAACTCAGCGCCCGGCGGGAGCCGGGGCCGAGGTCCCTCTCTTCCCGGGGAGGCCCGCGTGCGCCCCTCCGCGGCCCCGCTGTCGTGCGCCGGAGCGCGCCCGGGAGCCCAGAGTGCGTGCCCTCGGGGCCAGACCCGCGTCGTCCGGGTCGCGCTCCGGTCCCCCCCGTGGGGACGCAGCAGACGGCGCCGGACCCCGTCACGCGGCCCGGCGTGGGCAGGGCGAGGAGGTCCTGTCGGGGAGCGGAGGCCAGGGCGCCTCCGGGATTGGACCCATCAGTCCGGACGGACTCACCGCGTCGGACCGCTGGGGCGCCGCTTCTGCGGACGCCGCCGTCCACTCGAGCGCCTGGCCTTGTGGAAGCCCGGAGGAGAGGCCTCCAAGGGGATTTCTTCGCGGGGCCAAATGAAAAAGAAACGGCCTCAAATGTGATTTTAGATTACTTAAAATATGTCATTTTAAAGTTCAAATCTGGGGTTTCAAAGCTCCGAAAAGAATGCTGTAAAACAAAGCTAAAATGTTTGTAATAAAACATCTTCCAGGGGAGAGCGGGAGTCTAATGTTTTTCTTCCATCCTCCTAGTGTGACCTGCACCCGGTTAAGCCTGCAGTCACCCCATCTTTTAGAGCTAGTAACTCTCCTCCTACTGGAGATCAACAACGTACACCGCTAAAGAAAACTCTTAAGCCTGGAGAAAGATCCTAAGATACCATTGTTTATTACATTGTGAAGTAAATGACTGAGAACCAAGTACCTGTAGGGGCAGGGAGTGTACTGGTGTTTTCTCTTGTGACCTTTTCATGTTTGTTCCCTGGATTTTGGGAACGATGGAGAACCAGACTAACAGAACAAAATTATCACAAAATTTTTAACTCTTAGGTTTTTACTCATAAAACTGAAGAAAACATTGGACGACAGAAATGCGCAGGGCGAGACAATCAGTTGACTTCCTTTAAACATTGAGGCCAAAACACATTTTTAAAGAGCAACTCTCAATTAAATGGGAAATGTCATTGAGATTTTGTTTACACTAAAGGAACAAAATTCCCACATTTTACAAATCATTATTACTTTATTATTAAATAGTTTTGTGTTCCAAAAATATTCCGTAATAAAGTTCGTGCAGTTCCATGATACGTTACAAACAAAATCTCACAAAGGCTTCCCGACGCCTGACAGAGATAAATGTAGCAAGGTTTTCCCTTTTTTTCACAGAAGCCAAGTAAACATAAGCACGACAATGGTGGACAGAATCCAGAGAAATCAGACCCTTCGTATTTACTTCCCTGCAGCTCTGTTTCAGATCTATCATCGTTACAGCGCTTACCTTTATAAAGTCTTTGTTGCAGGCTGCGTGTAGTTTCTCTGGCATTTTAGGCTTAGCTATCTAAAAAAAAGATGAAATTAGGCCAGGGTCTCCTGTAACATGACTATTGTTTCCCATGCAGGCACTCTTGCATGTACTCAAGGTCTTTTATAAAACAAAGAATTGTGTCAAAGTGGGATAAACCCTTTGTGCAAGGCCAGATGGAAGGAGATCCGGGCATGTGCAGCAGACTCCTCTGGGAATGGAGGGGCAGGCTCGAAGGGCTATTTCTAAACAGTTTCGCATCACAAGCCTAGTCCCTAACTTAGCATCCATGAAGAGGGTGACTGTGGACAGGCAGGCTCTAGAGGAAATGCCCTACGATGAACAAAACCTGTGCTTGCCTTAGCGTGATGAAAATTCCAACAACAGAACTTTAAAGGCGAGAATGGAGCTCAAAGGTGCATGAAAAATACCTGTGGTGGACAGGGAGGAAATTTTAAAAATAATATAAGAGCAATATAAAATAACATAAAAAGCAACTTTGGTAACTGTTAAATAATATGTACTGAAAAGTTAATATTTACACAAATATTTCCCTTACATTTGTTTTTACAACCAAAGAATTAAACATGGGCACATAGAAATATATATATTATATATATATATAATATATATATATATATTATATATATATTATATATATATGTATAATGTCAGTAAATTGTAGTTCAAGACACTGCCAGAACACAGAGTGGTATGTACTGCTGGAACACAAAAGTCACAAGGAATTAAGGCTTTAACTGATACACTCAAAAATTACTAATGCCCTAAAATGCATAACTGTTGTATTTTTAATATATTTCCCCCTTCCCAGGCTATTAGCTGCAACAATAGAATTACCATATTGGCTTTTTTTTGTTTCAAAGAGCCAGATGGAAGAGAAACTGAGCAAGCAAATGAAAGTCTCAGAGGAATTGCAGGAGCGGAAGGTTTATAGAAACCATATTCCAGATCAGAAGACGGTGCTTGGTAAATGTGTGCTTTTATTCTCACAATCTCGGTTCTTTCAGAAAGAACAGTAGCCATGTTTCTGTTCCATGTCTTCCTCTGATGGCCTGTTAAAGATCAAGTGAATAATGACGAGCTGTATTATCTGCACTGATGGAAACTGAGTATCATTCTTCACTCCTCAATTTAGAGAACTCCTTGTAATTAACTGATGAGCTGTCCCCAAGACAGAGCCATTTGGAGTCATTACTGAACTCTAATTGGGGGAAGTGCTTTCAGAAAGTTTCAATCAGAGGCATTTTCTGTTGTTTTTATATGTGCATTCAAAAGAGGTAGGGGAGCATTCTTTTTCTTGAAAGTGTGACTTATATTGTTTCTGTTCCTGTTGATACTTAAGTAAATAATACAAGGTAAAGATCTGAAAATTTCAGAATACAGGATGAAGAGAGAACACTGAATAGTAGCAACATGTGGTCTTCTTCACTACAAGAACCAGAATCATAAGAGAAAAAGTGTTTTTAAAAGGATTTTATCATTCATGAGTATTTTTCTCTGATGCTTAAATCTCTATTTTCAATTCTTTCAGATTTCTTTAGAGAGTTATGAAGAGTTTAGATTTTTGAAATCAGATGCTTTATGATGCTTTTACAAGCTAAACATAGCAGTATATACACTAGGTTTATTTCACTCACTAAAAAATATTAGCCAATAAAATAAATAAATAAAATAATTAAATGTTTTCCTAAAGAACATTTTGTGCAATGAGAATGAAACTGAGGTCTGACTGAAACTGACTCCGTTGCAACTTCAAAACTTTAGAATTTTTTTTTTCCTGGGGGGGGGTGGGCGGGGCGGGAGTGGGAGTTAGTTTTTATTGTTTTCGAGAAAAGATTTCATTTTGTAGTCCAACTAGGCCCTGCACTCACTAGCCCAGGCAGGTCTCAAACTTGCAATGATCCTCCTGCCTCAGGCTCCTGTGCTGATATTACAGGTTTGCACTACCAGGCCTAGCTCAAAATATCAGAGTTTTCAAAATTTGTCTTACAGATGAGAAATGGAAACCAATGACACTTTTAACTATGCCATGTCAATTACAATCCTACTGAAATTGTATTTACAGAATTATCATGCAGTCTTGATTTTTCTTAAAAAATAAAGCTTAAGTAAATTAAGTTTTCCTTCTTACAAAAATGATAATTGCTTTCGATAAAACAAGTTTTAAAAAGTTCAAATCGAAAGACAGTTTTAAATAGTTTAAATTTGCCAAAAGATGTGAATTATTTTTAATCTAAAACAGTCCCTATTCTACAATTTTCTTTTAGGGTCAAAAAGTAAAAATGTCAAACACTCTGTTATTTCATGGATTAAGTGGAAATTCTGTGTCCTACAGGACTTAGAAAACAGCAACCTCAGTTACCTAAGTAAGGTAAAATACTGCCATCTGCTGATCAGGATAAAATCAACCCTCCCATCTGTAAGTATCAAAAGGGACTTATCCCCATCTTCTAATCTCGCTAAAAAGCGTCACACAGGGGATATAAACATTAATCAATCTGCTACATAAACAGGTAGCACTGTATGGCCCATTAGGCTGTCACTACTGTCCTTAGCTTTGAAAAGAAACCAACAGTTAAGAGTGAATAGATCACTCATATAACCATATTTGGTTAGAGCCATAGCAGTTATATGGCTAAAAAGTAAATGAGGATATAAAGTTATTACATGAGCCACTTTCCCATCACTGAAGCAAAATCCCTGACAGCCACTGTTTAAAGGAAGAGGAGTTCATCTTGGCTCACCCACTGTGAGTTCATCAATGGATTAATCACTGACCACATTGACCCCACAATGTGGTCAGTGATTAATCCATTGATGAACAATGATCAAACCGCCTTCCTGAAGTCTCCCTTCTGAACAAGAGACTTTCGCGGGACAGTTGAGGTCTAAACTACACCAGTTTTAACTATAAATTCTGATACTGATAAATGTTTGTGTTAAGACTTTTACTTATAAATGTATACAGTAAAAATAATTTAGATAATAGAAAAATTTGAAGTTTGATTCATGAATCAGTTACTCGGCAAATAGCTGAGTGGTTGCTATGCCAGTACTGTAATTCCATTGCCCACGGGAGACAGAGGTAAGGCCCAGTGTCTTTCCTCAGGGTCCCAGTCTGGTGACAAGCTGTCCAGACTCAAAAACAAAGAGGCCTCTACAACAACACACAACCAGCTACCGGAGGATGTCATTCTGCTCCGGTGGTGCACACGTCATTCCCAGCACGTACAAGTTAAAGTTTAGTAAGCATTTGTTTCCGTCCTTAACTCCTGTAAATGATCACTGGATTTGTTCAAGAACCGTACCTTATACCTTTTCCCTGAGAGGTATGTTTGTTCTGCTGCTGTACCTAGAAACCTCAGAAGGCAGAAAGAGGAACACTTTGATTTCTTTCATTCCCTACATCAAATCTATTACCAAACATGGTTGGTTTTACTTTCTAAATATCTGTTTAATAGTAACTCTCTTTGCATTTTCTCTGGCCTTCCCTTTGCAGCTACAGCAGCTAACAGTCTGCCTCAGTCCTGTCCAGCCCATGGTTCCCACCTGCAAATCCCCTGGTCTCCAGGGGCCCAGCACCGTGCGGTGAGCTCCCCACATCTCCAGTGTCAGCACTGCCCCTCCTCTCTTCTGCTTTGTCCACGGCTTGCTACTGGGCCCGCACTCCATCCATACATCCCACTCAGCTTTCTCCTGCAGGACCTTTGCACCGGCATTTGTCCATCTGCTGTCCCTTTATCATCTAGTTTAAAGATGCCTTTACTGAAGGAACTCACAATGTAACATTAAGTCTTTTCTGGAACCACTGACCCTTCCTTGGTAACACTCAACACAGGCAGGATTTCATAGTTGTATGTGTTTTGATCTGGCTTCCCTGAGGACCTCACTTGCAGATGTCAGCATCTTGGCTTTTCAGTGTTCCAATGTGGGCAACATCACTTTTCTGCGTAAAAATCTGGGCCATAGTAGAAAAGTTTGGATAAACAATTAAGAACTACCATAACTTGATGAAGTCTAATAATTTAAGGAAGGAATAAAATAGACTGCATTACTGATGATCCCAAACACAGACCACTTTCTCTCCTTGGAAAACTGATTTAGTTTATTGAGATTTTCCAAATGTTATAAGACTGGAAAACGTATTTGTTTTCTCTACATTTGTCTACTAGGGTCAGCAATCCCACCCACAATTCTTGCTAATTTGGGGCAACTCTGTCCTTAAGACAGTGCCATATTTGAAAGGAACTGTTAGATGAGTTAAATATTGACCTAGTTTTTCTAGATCTTCTATGTCATTAAAGTGTTCTGTGCTTCCTCATGTGTTTTCTGGACTCTGGACATTTCTGCCTAAATCATGTGCCCTTAAAAATCAAAGTCCTTTTTTAACTGTGTTTTGAGTCTCCCACACAACAGCAGAAGGGAGGACACAGTAAAACAACTGAAGCGCACAGGTGTGGGTTTGCTTTATTTTATCAGTAGCTTGCATTTCTGTATAGCACCCCTTGGCAGTAAACAGGAGTTTTGTTGTTGTTAGCACTGTCCTGTGACATTGAGGCTGGAACCCAGAATCTCTATCATGGAGTTACAATCCCAGCCCTTGTCATTTGTCATTGTGAAACAGGGTCTCCTAAATTATTCAGGCTGACCTTGAATTTGGGATCCTTTTGCCTCAGCTTCCCAAATAGCTGGAACGACAGGCAAGAGCTGTAGCACCCAGTGTAGAGTTCTATTTTCATGCTTCATTAAGAAATAATTCTGGGGATTTAGCTTAGTGGTATAAGCACCAGCCTGGCAAGTGCGAGGTTGTGAGTTCGATCCTGGTACCATAAATAAATAAATAAACAAATCTGAATTTAAATTGACATTATGTAAAATCAATTATAGTACAGATCCAACATCATTCATTTTCCTTTAAATAACTGGTTTACTGTGATGATTTTTGTATCAATCAGCTAGATACTTCACAGTCAACTCTCTAAAACCAAAATCATCTTCCCTTAAATCTATGCTTAGTCCTGTCTGCAAATTAGTGGTCTTCATCTAAACTTTCTGAATGAAAACACTAGCATAATTAAAGCAACATGAATGACACCTGATACGTGAATGTAGCAAATTGCTTATTGTTTACAGGTGGTTACTGCCTGGCCTAGGCATTGAACCACGTGACCTGCTCTGAACAATGAAATGCAGGTGTAAATGACCGGTGTCCTTCCTTGCAGAATGTGACAGCTGAAAGAGCAGGCTGCCGTGCTTGGTGTCCTATGCCAGGACAGCCAGCAGTATTCCAGGTGCTCCGTCAGTGTGGGGCTGGAATGGAGGATTGTGAGACTCCATGGAACCTACAGTGAAAGACTGCAGCATGACCCAAAACTCAGACTAGGAAATGCATGATGGAAATGGGAGGGTCTTTGGTGAAAGGAGACAATCTAGCTTATTATCATGGCTACTTTTCTCGTAGCTGAGACACAGTGCCCTACCCGCAGCTCTGAAGAGGAGAGGTTGATTTGGGCTCACAGTCTGTAGAGGTTTCAGTCCATAAGCTGCTAGGTCTAAAGGCGGGGCAGCCTGGCAGAGGTAACAGAGCTCCTGGCCTGGTGGTGGCAAGCAGAGATCAAGGGAAGAGGAAGGGCGATAGACACCCGGTCCCCAGCGGCCACCTCCTCCAGCCAGGCTTCACCTCCCAACTCCTGAGGAGACTCATCCACTGGTAAGTATCACATCCCATGATCCAGTTGGCTCCCCAAAGTTCCGCCTATGAGCCCAGGAGACCTCGAAGGAAGATCCACATGAAAACCATAACGCACCTGATGACTGATCCTGATGGCTGGGTGTGGTGATCCCTGTCTGTAATCTCAGCACTGTGGGAGGCTGAGGCAGGAAGAGTGTGTGTTTGAGGCCAGCCTATGCAGTTTAGTGACTTAGTGAGACCCTGTCTCAAACAAACAAGCCACCAAAAAAAAACTGGGGATACAGTTCAGAAGGCCCTGAGTTTAATGTCTCACGCAGCAAAATCAATAATTCAATCAATAAAAATAGCAAAATAGAGAAAATTTTGTTTTATCTTTCCACTATAAATGCACCAATAATAATAAAAGAATGTAATAGAAATACACAAACAGGAGTTAAACTTCATCTTTAATGGAAGGAGGAAATGTTACAACCCCAAGTTACAAAAGAGGAAGCAGATTTACCAAGCAGTGATGTGAAACAAAGGAAGAGGCTGATTGCTGAGAACCAAAGCCTACCTCGGGTCATCGTGGGGTCAGGGGAGAGGAAGGGCACAAAAAAGGAACCAAGCGAGCTGTGCAGCTCAGCCCCAAGCAAGGAGAGGACTGGGAGAAAGGTGCAGGAGGAGAAAGAGAGACAGCCATCCCCAGTCACTCCCCAGGCCTCAGCAGCTTCCCTAGTAACTGCTCTGCTGTGCTGCGTCTCAGGGAAACCTCTCACTGTAAAAGACAAGAGAAACAAATAATGTGCTTTTCCGTTTTCTGTGGTGGACACAGCCAAGGGAGAAGGATGAGAAATCTGCAAATTCTTGCCACTACCACTCCTGCTCCCAGCAAAATCAGGTTGCAATTTGCAAATTAAAAAAAATTATTTTGGGGCTGGGGATTTAGCTCAGCAGCATAAGCGCCTGCCTTGCAAGCAGGCAGTCGTGAGTTCGATCCCTGGTACCGATAAAAACTTAAAAGACAAAAAAAATTATTTTGATACTGAAAATGGAACTCACAACCTCATTGTGCTGTTGACCTGTATTCCCCTACCTCAAATGAAAAATTTAAATGAAACAAAAACCATAAATCAACTGCAAAACAAGAGCATGCCGAGTAAGATAAAAGACCTAATTAACAGGTCAAGGGTTAAATAACTATTTCCTCACCGCAGGTTGTCCCTAGAGGCTTCAGAAGCAGCATGGGCTGTTGACACCTTGATTTCAGATTTCAAGCTCCAAAATTCTGAGCCGATACAACTCTGCAGTTTGGAACAGTGCATAACATGTGGCAACTAATGGAGTCGAGGAGATTGCACACGGGAGACAGGTGGGTGGACCCTAGGGTGGCTTCCCAGGATGTTTGGCCTCTTCATTTTTGTGCCTTTGGGTGAGCAACTCTGTGAAAATGTGGTAAAACCTGTGATTTTTTTTTCTTATCATAGTAATCAGCAGGGAGAACAGGTGTATGTTTTTTCTGCATGTGATTACATGACACCAGGCTGGAACCCATGTTGTTGGATTGTTGTCTCATACTGACCTGGAAGATGCAGGTAATGCTGCAAAATGTGAGAGGGAAAGAGCTGGAGTACAAGATGCTGAGTGTGGCTGTCTGAGAAGAACTGAATTGATGTCAAACTCGGAAAAAGATCCTTGCCCAGCTGACTCCAGAGGAGACCACAACCCCAGCCAACATTTTGGTGTAGCCTTGAGAAAGCCTCCAGAGGAAGGCCCAGCTAAGTGGGTGCTCAACTCTCAACAAAGAGAAGTGGGAGTTAACAGTATGTGCTTTTGTTAGAGGAAACTGTCTTGAGTAATAGGAAACTAATATAATTCCCTTTCTAGAAGAGCTCTCTAAAAGTCAATCAGGAGCTCCAAGCAATGTCAAGGCATTTGTCTTGGTTACTCTTCTCTCATTGCTGGGACAAAATACCCAACACTCAACATTAAGCATGGAAAGGTTTATTTAGCTCATGGTTTGTGAAGGTTTCAGTCCATAATCAACTGGCTCCAAGGCAGAGTGGCTCATGGCAGAGGGCAACAGTTCATGGCAGTGGAAGGCAATAAAGCAACAAGGCAAAAGGTAAGACAGAGCAAGCCTCTTCTCCTCCCTTATATTGTTGGCAGGCCATCACCCCATCAACCTGGGTGTAGCACTCACACCTTCTCCTGCCTTCCTCCTACACAGGCGGAAGATGTTTACAAAGTGAGAACCCTAGCCCCTGCTGAGCCACTGAGTCATTGAGTCAAGTTGACCCAATGTATCAGCCACAAGAGCATTAGAGGAAGGAAATTGGAGCTTATAAAAATGAATGAAAGAACTAAAAGCATAGTACAACAAGAAAACCACATTACTGAATATATAATTATATAATGTAAAGTAAAAAGTGACAAAACTGATCAGATTTGATATGAAAGAGAAAATATCATATAGGTATATAGTAAAAATAAAGTTCAGAAAGAAATAGAAAATCAGAAATAGACTAGTACAAACAGTTAAATAAATAGTAAAAATATAATAAGTTATAAAATACTCATGGAAATGAAGACCAGATCTTCAGACTGAAAGAGCAAACCCTGACCAAAGAAAAAAACTGATACAGAAAGATATGCACCAAAAACTTGTCCTGGTGTAGTATTTAATAAGAACAAAGGCAGAAAAGCAGGTAGCATTCAAGGTGAAAATAGGCCTCCTGGGCCTTCTGTGAGGCGATCCTCGAATGTTGGAGATGCTGAAGAGTAGAGGGCAAGCAGCCACAGGGTTCCGACAGAAGCCAAACGTGACTCCAAGATGCTTCCCTCGCAGTGCAGTGCCCTTCAACTACAAACCCAGACCTGTATTCTCAAGTGCACACACATTTGGGTGTCACTGCTTGTGAGTCCTTCTTGGGGTGGCAAAGTGTGCCACTGGGGAAATCAGCAACCAAGAGATGCACGAAACATAAATCAAAGAATGAAGACTGTGATAACTCGGACCCCGGAATAAAACCCAAGGAAGCAAGAAAACTAAAATTTGGGGAGCAAAGGCTTTATTTTAGGCCAGGCCTGGCAACGCAATCCCTGGGAACCAATTTGGAGACTGTGTGCCTGACAGCTAAAAGACAGGGCTTTTATCTTGTAAAAACCACAAACAGCTGCTGGTCCCACAATGCAAGGAGGGAGGTGGGGGTGTGGCGCACTACAGAACAGGAACACGGCGGTTACATTGGGAAGAGCAAAGTTCAGATAAGGGTTAGGCTAACAAGCAAGTCTCCCTGCATACAAGCAAGTCTCCTGCGTACAAGCAACATCTCTTTTCCCTCAGCAGAGAATAGAGAAGTCTAGCAGTAATTAACAACCCCTGTTAGCTTATTTTAGCACCACGTCTGTTATTTGTAGAGGGCAACAATGGTTAACATGTCAATTAGGTAAGATTTTACAATTTTTACAGAGGAGAGCATTTCTTAAAGAACAGCACATTTTATTACAGATAGCCGGATGAGGGGTAAGGGAGGGGGTTGCAGGAAACTGAAGCCTAAGGCTTTTACAGCTTTCTAAGGAAATAGAAACTTAACCTAGAAAGATAGGAAGGGAAGGAGTGGGCTGAGCTGCGCATACAGAACAGGAATGAGGCACAATGGTTAGAACTAGGCTATAACAAAGACAGGGTGAAAAGACTGACAATGAGGAGAATCTCTTGACCTACAAAACCACAACTTGAAACTATTAGGAATTCCCATTGCAGAACAAAATGTGAATGTTATTAATTTTAACATTGTAAACTGTACCATATCAATCTGGGAGAGGTTGGTGGGAAAAACTGCAAATGATAAACTTCTTGGTCTTCCATGGCCAAAAAGCCATAGATGGGATATAAAGTTGTACATGCAGTTTAGAGCCAAGATTCTGGCCTCTTACTAGTTATCTTAACTCTAGAGAATATTCTTTTCAGAAAATTAACTTTTGTGCTAGGCATGGTGGCACCTACCTGTAATCCCAGCACTTGAAGGCTGAGGCAGGAAGATTGCTGTGAGTTTGAGGCCAGCCTGGGCTACGAAGTGAGTTCAAGCTCAGCCTGAACTGCAGTGCGATCCTGTCTCTAAAAGACAAAAAACAAAACAAACAAAAAAACCCAAGGAACTTATCTTTTGTAGTAAGGAAATATTTATTTCAAATATTTACCCCATTCTTTCAGTTTGCATTCCTTCTTTCATTAAATTTGAAATGAACATTATTTATAAATAGTACAAAAAAGCCTTCGATCTCCACTTTAGAAGATTCTATTTGTATAATACAGAGAAGTAAAATTAGGCTAACCAAAGTTTACTGGTGGTTATTTTGGGACAAGAGTATTGGGGTATATTTTCCACATCTCTTGAATTTTAAAGATTTTTTAAAAATAGTAATTTGTATTCCTTCCATAAAATTATTTTTCTTACAAAAATTTCCTAATTACCAGTATATTTAAAAGCATAATATATAGACCAATAAAAAAAGGTAAAACAAATACATTATTGAGTAAGTAAATCCACATATGAAATTTACCTATGTATTGTTTACAAAGAAATATGTGTGGGAAAAACCTATATAATAAGTCTTTAGAATAAGATGCCAAAAATACAAGGTAATTATAAACAAACATAAAGATAATAACTATAAGAAATGACTGAATTTAATGGGGAAAAGTCATCCACATTAAACAGATGTTTTTTAAAAACAGAAGTGACTCTGAGTGTGGTGTGAGCTCCTATAATTCCAGCACTGTAGGCAGCTGAGGCAGAAGGATCACAAGATCAAACCCAGCCTGGGCAGTTTAATAAGACCCTGCCTCAAAATAGAAAGGAAGGGGATGGGATGTAGTTCAGTGTGAAGACCCTGGGTTTGATCCTCAGTACCACAAAAACATTCATAATGGAAACACAAATTAGTGGAGATATATGTATTGTAATGTATTGAGTAAAAACTGATGGAATAAAGTGATAAACTGACAGAAAAACAAAAGAATTTAATTTAGAGTAGGCAAAAAGTACACAAAGTGAATTAGAATTGATTTATGCCCTTTAAAGAATACAATTTTGACTGTTCAAGAAGAACTATAAGTTTATGAGATTTGATTATACATCAGATAACGGTTTTTCAACAATTTCCAGAAGATTGGCCAAACTGTCTGGCCATAACGCAGCAAGAGCTTGGGCAGAAGAAGACTTTACAAAAAGGAGTAGCGTGAGTTTGTTATGGATTAAAAACTGGTGGGTAACTTAACACCAGCTGAATTAGATCAGCATGGTGCTGAGCGGAGATGGCCGCCTGAGGAAAGTGGCCAGCATAAATAGTGACGTGCAGAGGAAAAGTGTAGGGTTGTGGGTTCTCTAAGTGTTGCTGTTGCTTGGAGTAATTGGTTCTCCTGGAGGAGCTCATCATAACTAGCTTCCCCAGGAGAGTTTGACCATGGTCATTGGAGGAGTTTGAGACCTTATCACTGAGAGTGGCTGCGGTTCACTTCTGGGGGAGCTCTGGTCCTTACGTTGAGCATCACTTCCTGGCTCCGGAGGGGAAGATGTGTGCTGTTTAATCTCAAGGAGAAGCTTGTCACGCTGCCTTCCTGGCATGTACTGTTCTCAGTGCTGGAGGAGCTCGGGACCTCATTGTCGCTGAGGATGGCTATGGTGCTTTTGGGGAGACCCCTGGTCTCTGTGTTGAGTGTTGCTTCTTGGCACCAGTGTAAAACCCTCAGCCTACTGGCATAGATCCTTCACTTCACTGGCATGGACTTTCTAGCTTCCACCACTGACCTTGGGGCTTTCTCAGTGCAGATCCATAAAATAGACTTGCATGAGTCATTGTTGTGGGCTCCAGGTTTTCAGTTGAATTTATGCAGGTACTATTGTGGGATTTAGTCCATGGGCTGGATTTTCTAGGTCTTTAGTGTTATGGACAGATTTTCCGCACTTTCTTTGTATTAGCTCCTTCGGTGACCATCATAAAATAATGTTATAAATTTTGTTTCCTTGTGTCATTGTTTTCCTTGCAATGTCTGACTACAGCAGAGGTCAGTCTTGAAAGATAACCGGGGCAGGTATTGGTGAGAATATTTTAGGCATGTATCACAATGTAACATTATGAGGGATGGGAAGCAGAATATATACATATCCTATCTACAGTGAGTACTTTTGCTAAAAAGGAAGTGAAATATTATTGTTTAGAGACACTGTCAATTAACACTGTACTGCTGAGACAATTGTAATTTAGAAGTATTGTGCATCCTTTCCCATGTCCAGCCGGTAAAATACTTGGTAGTCTGTTGTCCACAGGAGGGGGCTCTTGTCTGCAGGAAGGGGTTTATCCACTCTA